CCTAATTGGTGCAAAGAGGTTGTTGGGGCGCAGCCCGGATTTGCAGGCGGCAGGTATCTCTTTTCAGCCGCGGCGCTCCGACAGCCTCTAATGGCACGCTCAGGTTGCAGGAAACCACCTCCGCTGCTCGCTGCAGCTTCTTCCCACGCCGGGCCGAGCTGGCTGCCAGCGGCTGGGGCCCCTCCGAGGAGACAAAGCTGGTGCTGGATGGGGGGTTGGGGGGGGGTATCGTGGCCCGCGAAATTGCCTCAAGACGGAGCCTTTGTTAGGGGAAACATTGGATGCGCTCCGAACGCGGCGCACAGCCTTCCAGCCCCTACGCTTTTCGGGCTTGCAAGTCGTTCAGTCGCGCTGGCCCTGGTACTTCTGCCTGGCAGGGTTTGCGTTTATTGCAGGGAGAGACTTAAGCATTCTGTCAACACATATGGCTTCGAAAGCTTCAACCATAACATTGCCGTTTTTACAGTTACTGCTTTAAGTATGTTAGCAGACAGAACATCCTTGTTTTACCCGAGGGAATGGATTAGATTCTGGGCAAACCATCGTCCACCCCCACTCTGCTGTATTAACTATGCATAGGGTTGGTAATTAGCCTCTGGGTCCCTCCATCCACTGGTTCAGTTCTTCCGTCTGTAGCCCAGAGATAATTATTCATCACCAAGTTTGAATAAAAAGCTGTATGCTTTACAGATGAGTTTTGGCTCGCGTCCAGAGGAAAGAGTTCACGAAGTCCACCCAAGGATTATTTACTAAAGTGAGTTCTACGCCAGAGACAAATACTTGGAATAACTCCAGAGATATTCAAGTCATTTTGAATCGAAGTGGAAGCATTTTAACTACACCCAAAACTGCTAGAATTAGCACAGGCAGGCGTTAGTTTCTGCATAGAGCAGTAGGTGAAGATGGACCGTGGTACCGAGGCTTCATTGCTGCCAATGAGAACGTTCACTGGCAGCTCTGAGCATGGCGCCGAGGTATCTCTTTTACACTAATATGGCTCTTAACCATTGTATATTTAAAGAAAACAGTGTATTCGTACAGACTGTTTCAACCGACACGAGAAAGTTTTGTTTTACTCCACTTTGGAAACATGTCAGGAGTTTGATCAGGACTCGGTGCAGAGGCGGCGATCAAAGAGCATAACTCTCCTAAAGCATTCTGGATAGAGCAGCTTCCATCCGGTGAGAACTCCTGCAGCCTATGGGTTCCCTAGGTAGCTCAGTAGTAGAACCTAGCACACACATACCCTGGGGTTGATCCCCATTGAAGACAGGGTAGTACAATGGATTGAAATAAACCTACGTGCAGCGAGACCCATCTCTAGGCTAAAACTTGCCCTGGTGCTAACCTTTTTATTTTATTTTATTTTTATTTTAACTCCTACTGGGGACCATTCTGACTACCACGCCATCTAACAGTTGCTATAACTCACCTGAAATTATGTCAGTAGCATTTATCCCCTCAGGACTTATTTCTCTAGAGCAAAGCCATAATCCCGGGAAAGGTAATATTTTAAGCCTTAACGGTCATTTATACCTAATTCATCAGATTGTTCTCTAAAGCAGTTTTAGAGGAAGGAGAAAATAAGGACAGCATCTGTTGGTGCTGAGTAAATAGAGGACAATGAATCTCACTACTTATACCAGTATAGGGAGAACGGAGGAACAGGGCAATAAAATGAACTCATCATTGTTATCCATCACTGTTTAGTTCATGAACAGCACACACAGAAATAGCCGAACCTCCTGTCTGGACTTTCTTACACGCATTCCTGTTCTGTGCTTGATGGATGCGTTGTCTTTGAAAACCCTCTCCCAAGACCTTGAACGATGGACTGAGCTTTTATTTCATTTATGGTTAACCGGGAAACTAAAATCCCACCTTCAGCAAGATGGCCTTAATGTGAGTCCGTAGTGACCCACTGGCCTCTAGGATCACCTTCAAGAGTAAACTAAAGTCTGTTGATAGCAGTTCAGCGTCCCCATTGGGATTCCTCTTCCCAAACCCAGAGTTGAGGGGAGCGCTGCCTGAGGGAAATAAGCCACTTCGCTGAAGAAAAGTAACCCCAAATGAGGACATTGGCACTGTTTTTCCTTTGTTTACTTTGGTGTTTTGGTTTGGTTTGATTTTGGTTTGGTTTGATTTTGGTTTTTTCAAGACAGGGTTTCTCTGTACAACAGTTCTGGCTGTCCTGAAATTTGCTTTGTAGACCAGGCTGGCCTTGAATTCACTAAGGTTCACCTGCCACTGCCTCCCAAGTGCTGGGATCAAAGGTGTGTACCACAGCCACTCGGCTTGGTTTTGTTTTTTTGAAACAGGGTTTCTCTGAGTTTCTCTGAGTGGACTTGCTCTCCTGGAACTCACTCTGTAGACCAGGCTGGCCTTGAACACACAGAGATCCACAGGCCTCTGCCTCCCCAGTGCTGGGGTTAAAGGCATACACCACCACAATGCCTAGCTGTTTGACCGATTTTTTTTTTTAAAAGACCCTTTGCCAAAGCCCCATGTCAGCCAAATCTGAGGAGGAGACATTGGAAGATTACAAGGAACAAGCATTCTTTCTCGGCCTTTGACAAAGTGTTAGTCATCTAAAAAGTTTTCTGTTTTACTTTTTTTTTCTTTTAAATCACGGTAGCGTTTAGGAAAGCAAACCTTCTGACTAGCAAGGGGTTAGACTGAAAACAAGCCAAGACGCTGTAGATGAACTGGGTCAAATTATACCATGTCATTTTTTTCAGTGGAGATTTCACTTCCCTCTTCTCACTTCCCTCTTAGCCTCTGGACAGAGAGCAAGGGCACAAGGTCAGGGAGCGAGTCTATGACTCAAAAGAGGCATCTCAACACCTACAGGAACCAATACTAGGATTTTTAGATAATCCTTTGGGAGCAGAACTACCCCTCCCACAACAAAAGGAAAAAGGTTTAGTACTATCTTATGAATTACGGCCAAAGACTATTGGTGAAAAGGTTGCCATCCAAGTTTCGGAGTTTCCACGCCAGTAGAGCATTTCCCTCTCTTGTACACAGAAACATTCCCGGAATCCCACCAATGCCCAAGACTGCATACAGAACTAGTCCTGGATGCATTGTTCTTCATGTGCATGCATAAGGATGAGGAAGTTCAGTTTGTAGACGAATTGCACGAGGGATTGGCAGCAACAGTAGGATAATTGTAATCTAATAAAACCATGTGAGGGCCAGTGAGGTGGCTCCGTGGTGAAAGCGCCTGTCCTCAGGCCGGACTTGTGACTCACGCTCAATCCCCAGGACTCACTGAGAAAGCCACCTCTCAAAAGTCCTCTGGCCTCCTCCTCACACATGCACACATACACAAGCCCACTAATAAAATGTAATTTTTTAAAGCTATGTTGAATGAAGTCTTTCTGAACGTCTGTGTAACACTCACATTCTTGGGATGACGGAGGATGATAGTGTGGCAGAACACATCTACGACCCCAGAACTCACAAGGCAAATAGCAATAGGATTAAGGCCAGTCGGGGCTATGTAGGATATCCTATGTCAAAAACAAACAGCAACAACAAAACAACCATAAAGCCTACATGATGAGAAAAGTGAGATAAATTATATGGCACTGTGATGGCCTATTACATAAGCCTTCCTTGAACACAGGCTCTAAGATACCACGGCAGTCAGTGGTATCACTACAGTGACTAACGGGTGCATAATAGACACGATGGGAATACATGGGGCAGAAGAAAGGTTTACGTCCCTATCAGGACAAAGCAGAGCAGCACACAGTTGAAAATGTAAGACGTGGCCACCTCTAGAGTGTTCCATACAATATTTTCAGACCGTGTTTGACAATAGGTAACTGAAACTGGCAAAGGTGAAAGTGTTGGATAAGGGGGAGCTGTTATGTATAAT